GGGGGGGGGGGATGAGGGCAGGGTAACATAAAACCTCTATGAGCCTGCCTACCTACAGTATAAAACGTCGCTGTAACAACCAAAACAAACAATACTCGCTGTAAAGCTCTGCATGGTTCTCCTCCGCCCACATCATTTAAGAACCCAGGCCAGCCTTAAACAGCGGCAAAACCAGAACCATGCACAACCCAGGGGGACGTATAGAGCCCAAATGCCTAACCTGCTAACCAATCCAGTCACGTGTTCCTGTAACACCTGTATTGCCTCAGAGCTGGGGGGGGGGGGGGGCAGCAGGACAGGAAATGAACGGGGGAAGGTGGATAAAGCAGCGGCACGCTAAACAGGCTCACCTTGAAGCTTATCTCTACTCCGCTTTGATCTCTAGGGGGGAAGTTCTCCCTCCCGGTTCTGACCGGTTCTGAAGGTGTCCTTCTCACCAGGCTGCTCTTCAGGGCTCCCGGTGGCCTGAAAGGTCCATGGGACAATGTGGGGACACGTGACAGGAGAAGTGACCATCTCGCACGTCCGCTAGCCTCCGGGACCGGTGAGCGTCACACGTACCGTGCGTTGTCGTGGAGACTGGATGGATCCCGCTCGCCGAGACCAGAGTAGATCACCTTGGAGGTCTTCAGCTCCTCCATCTCTCCGATAACGACAACGTGGACGTCTCCGTCCCGTCCGAGCAACCAGCTTACACTCTTACTGTGGACTGGGGACACAGAGGACAATACTGACACAAAAACCTTATCATGGATATGAAGTGTACAGGGTGGATTCTAGGATTTTTGTACGGTGGTGGGTAATAAGAGGGGACATAATTCATTAAAAATGGAAAAACTTATCAAAAGCCAATGATGTGTTTTGATTCGCTGAGTGACAGGGGTAGGGCACTCCAGGAGCCAATCAGCTTTCAGCTCAGGGCAGTGCCCTTCTGGCCCCTCCCCTTACATGCCCCAGGAAGGAAACCCAAGAGATCCAGACATTAAACTGACTTTATCTAAACGACCAGTACGTGAAAATAAGTATAAAAATCATATTTACTATCGCAAGACGGACACATGAAAACTGGACACACCAACGGTGAATAATTAAAAAAAGAATCTGATGAAAACATTTGCATTGTTAGATTGAAACTGATTCCTGGAGCCAACAGACCGTGGAATTCCTCACGAGTAAAACCGGAGTAATGTGCTCCGGAATCCATGAAAATACAGTCAAAACAACAGCATGCGAGGTCACACTGATGTTCCCGGCGACCGAAACGGCGACACTGTCACTTTAAGGAAGAACTCCCTAGGGAACGTCACTCAATTCACGCGTAAACTTAATCACGTCCCTTACTCATGACAGGCTCGATACGTTGTCTTTAATCTCATGCGGAATGTCTCTCACGTCCCCTTGGTTGACTCCTGCCCTTCCTCTTGTGCCCTGGGGGCCAAACTGACAGAAGCACGGGCGGGTTGGGGGGGGGGGGGAGGCGGGGGTGGTCAAAATGAGATCACCCCTAGGGCATGTTTGTTAGGGACAAGTGTGGCTCAAAGAATCACCTTGGTTATAAGGCTAGTGTTGCTTACTCGATGTGGTTTACCCATCAAGCACCAGGACAGCTAACACAGGCCAATGTACAGTCATACAAAGGATTTGTGTTTCATCTCATTAGCTTAGGAAAATCACTCCAATCTGCCTGGACAATGCGACGATCGCATCCAATAATGCGTGGCATGTTACCTTGCTGCATTCCGGCCTGTGACTGCATACCCGGTGGCGTGCTAATGTACTCATGCGAAGCAAAGCACACAATACCACTGCGGATTGGTGAATGACATGCGTGCATCGTGCAATTTGCAAAACAGTAGTTAAGCGGAATCCGTTGTAAAGGCACGCAGCACATTTAACGGTTAGTCTGAGTGTGGTTTCCAGAATTCTTTGTTTTAGGTTGACCAAAAAGGCTAATGTCTCATCATCTGGCTAATTACCACTGTTGGTTAGTTAGTATCCAGTGATTTTATTGGTATTAATATGAAGTTCTGTTTATAGAAGGAAAAACTGCCAAGGCACCAGGAGCAACTTATAATTTGAAACAAAGCTGAATCTGGCAAAATGAATCGTGTTTTTAGACACTAAAAACAATGGAAAAATATTTGCTATGAATTGATTGGATTTGCCAGTCGTATTTAATAAGGAGAGAGCCTTCCACCCTCTCTTATCACGTGTTTAATAACATTAAATGCGGAATTAACCCATCACCCGAAGATTGACCTGCTGTCCTTTTTAAAACGTGCGTGTGTGTATATAGGGGGGGGCAATAGTTCAGAATTAGAGTTTTATTCTTATCTGGAGCGCATCCCACGGGCTTGCCACGTCCTGTCATTCAGTGTGACCCGGTCAGCGCCCGGATTGTCGGGCCTGAATCACAAAGCTCCAGCGAGCGGGAACCTTTAACTGATATTAACTAACTGCTGGTCACGATGCCTAATTATCAGAGGATCGCTGTGAGCGGGCGGGGTCAGATCCGGCGTTTATCTTCGCGGGCGGCCAGTTCCGGCTTTGACCGCCCCCCCCCCCCCAAACCCCCCTGGGTCCCACGCGGCTCACCGTACCGCTCGCTTTAGACAAAGAGCGCAGCGCTTTTATAAAGCCGCCGATCGGAGTCGCGCTTTGCCGGTGGGGGTTTTATTTCCCGCGAGGATGAGTTACGTCCGCAGACGGTAATGAGCGCGCGCCTCGTCTCCGGTTTCCTTGGAGCGCCATCCCAGACCGGCCCTTTTCCCCGCATGGGGTCGCCGAGCCCCCCCAGCCCCCCCCCCCACACGCCACTTCCGCGAGGGGCCGGCTGCTCCGTGCTGTCGGCTAGGAACAAAGCGGCGGATTCCTGCGGGGGCTGCCGTAATTAGAGCGCCCTCCGTAATCCTGGAAGAAAACAGGCTGCCCCCGGTGATGGGGGGGGGGGGGCAGCCAAGGGCGAAGCGTGCAAACGCGACCCGCTGCTCTCATCCCTCGGGTCAATTAAATACAACAATTTAGGGTATTTGCATGAACCAAATGTTCTAGTGTTTCTGCGTCACGTGTGTGTGTGTGTGGGGGGGGGGGGCGCGTCTCACATGTACGGTCATGAGCATTTTATTAGGGCCGTGCCGTAACCTGAAGTCATGTGGAGTGAGAAGTCTGCTTAAGCCCCCCGTCTGGGGATGTT